ACCTGTGACACCAGCTGATCCTTGCATTGTAGGGAATGACAGATGTTTGGTAACTTTCTCAATTTCTTCCATTGCTACTGGTTTGTTAGATTCCCTCTTCTGGAGTTAATTCTGATACCTGGATTTCTTTGAAAAATAAAATAAAATCTGTCTTAATTTCTATAGTTTTATGCAGAAGTTGATTTTTTCAAAAAAATTCCTTACCATGTGTATTTATATTTCCTTTTTCTTAAGCAGGTAACCAGTTAATCTAGTTCCCATTTCTGCCCGTCCCAATAAACCAGCCCTTCAATGATCAATTTTATTATTTTTTGGTGGGTTTTTGGTACCGGCGACTGAACTTAGAACCTTGTGTGTGCCAGGCAGGCACTGAGCTATCTCCCCAGCCCTTATTTTTTGGTACTTAAATTTGCTTTTCTTCTTTATTACCTTTCTCATTCTCTGATTTCTAATTTCTTAAATTAAACGGTTATTTTAAAGTAGTCTATATTTCATAATGTGAGCACTTAAAGTTATGCATATTCTTTTCAGAAAAATATTTATTACTTTTTTCCACTGGGGGTTAAATCCAGAGCCTCTGCCCTATGCTACATCTGTAGCCCACTTAAAAATTTTTTTCTTGTTGTTGTTTCTTTTTGACACTGGCCTTGAACTCACTATGTACTCCAGGATGGCCTTGAACTCATGGCAAGTCCTCTTGCCTCAGCCTTCTGAGTGCTAGGTTTACAGGCAAATACTGGGGTTACAGGTGTACACTACTATGTCCAGCCCTTTAAAATTTTGAGATGGGGACTAAGGCACTCAGGCTGGGCTCAGATTTTGGATCTCCTGCTCAGTGTCCCGCACAGTTGGGATTATAGGTGTGTGAAACTGTGGCTGGCTTCCTTTATTACTTTTTAAGGCTATTCTGCATTTCATTGTATTCTAGTTGCTTGTAAGTATTCTAAAATATTCAGTGAGCTGGCTAGCTTAGTGTTTTCTGTAATTAAAAATTGTATTAAAAAAGAATGGTTCCAGAATGTTATCCAATCTCTCTGCCCTTGCTTAATGTAGTGAGGAGTTATGAGTTAAAATGTTCTACAGCTGCTTAAAAAGTTTGCCAGGTACTGAGTTTAATAATAATTAATCAAAGGCTGGGGATATAGCTCAGCAGCATAAGCATCTGCCTAGCAAGTACAAGGTTGGCAAGTAAAAGGTACTGAGTTCGATCCCCAGGTCTTCTACTATTACTACCACTACTAAATCATTTAGCCTATTATGAACTTATTTTTTACTATTATTAGTTAATAGGCAAGAAAACTATTACTGTATTTGTGAAGCTCAGAAAATGGATATTTAAAAAACTAAAATTTAGCTTAGAAATACTTGATACCTATACAATACTTTACTTTTTTGTAATTAATGCTAAAACAAAAATATTTAATGTACACATTATTACACAATATCATGAAAATTTATGAATGTCAAGAACATTTTAACACAGAACACAACAGTGCATTTCAAATTCCAAGCTATGTCTACACCTACACAATACATACCAATTTATTTAGTGAGGCATGGTGGCACACATTTATAATCCTGGAGGCTGAGGCAGGAGGACTACCAGGAGTTGAGGTCACGCTGAATTATATAGTAAGATCTTATCTCAAAAATAAAGTGCTGCTGGGGGAACTACCCCCTCGGGCCCCCCTCCTGTCCCTCTCTTGGACAGGAGCTTTCTTTCTCTCAATAAATATATTCTGCTCATAAAAAGAAAAATAAATAAAGTGCTGCCTTTGAATAATATAAATTTTGTCCATGTTCATTTTTCATTTTCACTGGAATAGTATTTGCATTATTTTCCCAAAAGAAGCTAGCCAGTCACTTATTGGCCACTGTATCAATACTTGAGGAAAATTTAAGAACCTTGCTTTATATTTACATTTTTAGATTTTAAAAATAGTTTAGGCTGTGTGTGGTTGCTACTGCCCTTAATCCCAGCACTTGGGAGCCTGAGGCAGAAAGATTATTGTAAATTTGAGGTGAGCCTGGGCTACATATTGAATTCAAGGCCTCCCCAAACCACATAGGCAGACTGTGCCTCAAAAAAAAAAGTTCTAGAGCAGGTCCTGGTGGTACACTTCTGTGATCCCAGCACTCAGGAGGCGAGGCCAGCCTGGGGACACACAATGAGCTAAGGGCCAGCTGGACCCCCATAGCCAGACCTTGTCTCAAACAAAAAACAGCCTGGGAGATAGCTCTGTGGCTTAAGTGCTCACCTGGCAAGCTCAAGGTCCTGTGTTTGATCCTGGGTGCAAAAAAAAAAGAAAATCTTAAACAAGAAATCCTTTAACAACAAAAAGAATCTTTAACATGGACAAAAACCTTCTGCAATTTATTGCAAGATTTGTTTACCACAGATTTACTTTTGTTTGCTACTTAAAATACTGAACACATCTCAATATAAGTAAGCAAGTTAATGAAGTTGACTTTCAAGCAACTGCAAGGGTAAAACTGCTGTGGCATAAAAAACAGTGCAGTCTAAATACTCTTAATTCACATGAACACTGAGGATCTAGATGTGATCTCAGTACAAAGGTCTTCGCAAAACTGGACGGAAGGAGACTGTAATTCTCAAAGGATGTGAATTCCCGCTAGTAAGCAAGTTTGAGTCAGCATTCAGAACAAGGTTAGGCTGGGTTCTAGTCCGAGTTATGACCCTGTCTTGCCACTGTAAGCACAAAGCAAAGTCTAGTCTGTGCTTATTTCATCTACAAAGCCAGAGAGCAGGGAAGTCGACTCCTCTCAGAGATAGCGAACAGTTATTTTCTCCTGAGACGCCTGAGGGTGACTTCCAGTCCAAAGTGCCTAACCTGTGTTTCAGAACTGATAGGGTCCTCGAGGCATCCTACATGGTGGGTTCCAGGGAATTCTTTCCAAGTCAAGTCGATGGGGGCTCTAAAGGGCAAGGTTATTACATACGTATTTCAAGGGCTTCTGTTTCATAGATTACAGGCAAAGAAGCAGAAGGTAGGAATTATGGCCAGCTAGGTAAGTCCGTAAGGGGCAAAATTAAAGTTAGGGTGGTCAGTACAGCGGAGGCGTCGCCACACCGTCTCGCTAAATTTAACAACAAATGAGCGGTACAGAGCCTGACGCCACCCCTCCCCCGTAGGAAAGGCCTCGCACAATTGTTTCCTATGAGGCGATGTAACATGGTGTCGCAGAACAAGCATTCTCTAGGCGTCCATTTCCCCAGTCTTTGAAAACAGAGAAACTGGGCAAAACCATCAGGAGCCCTCGGGTCTCGGAAACTCCTGGGTCGGGATCCGGCTGCGAGCCAGCGGCAACCCCTGCCTCCGGGGCGAGGGCAGGCGCGCGGCGGCCGCACCGGCCGGTCCCCGCCCTTGCAGTCCCAGCGCCCGGGAAGCGCCTTCCCAGCCCGCGCGCGCCCGAGTGAACGCGCGAACGCTCAGCTGCCAGCGCAGGCGAGGTCGCCGGCCGACGCGACCAAGATGCCCCCGCGCAGTGCGGGAGGGCGCGCAAGCACCGAGCCCAGAGGCTCGGAACGGGGACCAGGAGTCCGGGTGCACGCACAGGGGCCCGGCGGCGGCGGCGGCGGCCGCCCCCCGACCCTCCCCGCGCCTCTCTCACTGAAGGCCGAGGGGAGCCCAGGCTTCCGCACGCCTCACTCACCCATGGCCGCAGGCGCCGGCGCACGCCCATACCTCCCGCCCGCAGGACGGCCCGCGAGCCAGCCCACTCCCGCGCAGGCGCAGACCTGGACTGACCCGAGCAGCTGGGCGGCGCGGGTCACGTGAGGGGGCTGCCCCCTGTTCCCGAGCCGCAGCGCACAACAGGGTGACGCCCTCCTCCTCCTCCTCCTCCTTTCGTCCCAGCGGGGCTAGTGGAGGGGTCACGCCGTCACATCTGACGTCAGGATGCGGGGAGCCGCTAGTTCCAGCGGCTTACCGTGATGTCCTACGGTGGCCTCGCCGAGCCAGAAACTGCCAACGCGTTGTCTGGTGTGCGGCCTGCGGGTGGATTGTAGGCGGCCTGGGTTCTGGGTGATAAGTGCAGTGCGTGCAGCTGAAGGATCTGCAGTGGCTTCCTGCTTCCTCTGTGTAGCCTGAGCCCTTTCCTGAAACCTTCAGAGCGCCTTTGTCAGCGAATTGTGCTACAGTTCACAAAACTTTTTGTGTGCTTTAGGATACAGAAATCACTGTTACACTCCCTTTTTCCCTCAGAACCCCAAATAACTCGTGGGATCGTGAACACTGCACCCAGAATTCGGAGGCCTGGGCCAATGTCATAGTTGTGGGAGTTTCTCTGGATAAATAGATGGTCCTTAAGCCCCAAATTCCTGATGAAAAAGTAACCTTTGTGTCTTAGTTACTTTCTCATCACTGAGACAATCCAACACCCCCAGGTGCAAGGAGGAAAAGTTATGGCTCACAGTTTGTAGAGGTCTCAGTGGTCTCAGTGCTAGCTCCGAAGCAGAGGAGAACTGCTCCTGGCAGGCAGGCAGGAAGCAGCGAGGGAAGAGGGAGGGAGGCAGACCTTTCCAGGCCAGCCCGCCTCCTCACAGGCTTTCCCTCCAACATCACACTTGTCTATTAACTCATCAGTAAATTGGTCCCCCATGATCCTATCATCTCCCCAAATTCTAAAGGGGGGGGCATCTAGATACAAGCCATAACCCCCTGCCTGTGTGCTGTTGGGATTTTTTATTTTTCTTTTTTGCGGTACCGGGGATTGAATTCAGGATCCTGTGTTTGCCAGGCAAGTGCTTATTCTATGTAAGTGATTCTTATGGAAGTAATGGTTCTGACTTTCATTGGTAAGCAGGACCACACACAACTGATTTGAGAGGTTGAAGAAATGAAAAAGAGCCTGGAAAAGGGAGGCACTTGAGGAATTCATCAGATATGTGACGTCTACTTTACTTGGGACTAGCCCAGTGGATAAGCCACCACTGGAGTGAAGCATTAGTAGAGAACAGCTCTAGCTGGATGACTCCACATGCTGCGCTTCTTTGGGGGATGTAGGAGACCATGCCTCCTCACTTCCACAAACTCTCTAGGAGGTACCTGCTGTGCGGCAGGTGCTCTCCAGCAGGCTGAAAATCTAATGTAGGACACAGAAATGGAAAGCTGCATTTTTAGAAGCATGAGAACCTATTTCTTTTCGGGGATGGCTTCATAGCGTAGGAAGGGTTTGAACTGGTCCTTGAAGGCTAGATAGGTGGAATTTGAACCAGGGGAGAAAGTCATTATAGAAGGAGATAAGATTGTAAAGGTCAGGTGTTGGCCTGACAGTGCAACTCTTAGCTGCCAGATGCTGGCAGCTGGTATCTAATTAGTGTACAAGGGATAGAATTTGGACTTCATTGGAAAATGACAAGGCCACACCACTGTTTATAATAATCAGCCTGGTGACAGTTGGAAAAAGGGCATTTACCTCAAAATTGTGTTTACCCTAGCTCATGTGAGTTCCTATTTAGATGTTATTCAAAAAATAAACCAGGCTGGCATCTAGTGTGTTCAAATTAGCATAAATAATTAATTTCAGATTAAAGTAGAGAAGTTATTCTCCTCTGGGAAAACAAAGAAAAGGAAAAGATTGAAATTAAGCATACAGTTGGGGCATAACTGACTTAAAAGAGTAAGCAAATCTCCCATCACCAGGAACACAGGACTTAGTCTGGAGCTCAGCCAGTCTCTTTCCATCCTGCCACAGGCCACAGACCTTCATTCTCCCCACCCCCAATTGGCTCTTCTTGGATATTAAAATGTTGGAGATCAAAATCTCTGATCTTTGATTCAGAATTTGTAATAAAGTTAACCTTTCATCTCTGCCATTATCCACCTTTCCATCATTCTTTCATCCATTCTTCAGCCCCTTAAACTGTTTTGCATACCTCCCGCTTCCATGTCAGCCACCAGATAACAGCCTCTAGCCCAGCTTCCATCAAGTCACTCCACAATTTAAAACCTCGCATGGAAGCTGGGCACGGTGGCACATGCCTGTAATCCCAGCTACTCAAGAGGCTGAGGCAAAAGCATCACAAATTCCTGGCCAGTCTGGGCCACTTAGCGAGGCTCTTGTCTCAAAATGCAGAAAGGGCTGGGAATGTAGCTTAGTGATAGAGTGCCGCTGGATTCAATCCCCGACACCACACCAACAGAACACAAATCTTCTATGATTCCCTCTTGAGTCCCCAGTCAATCCAGACTCCTTCAGTTGACACAAAACTGCGCCTGTCTCAGTTCCTCCACCTTCCTGCCCATCTTATCCCAACTACCTTCTGTGCTTCAGTCCTGTGTAGTCTGATGTTTTGCAAACCTTGTGTTCCTCACCTGTTTCTTCCTGTCATCATCGAATCATCACAAATTAAACTTATTAGCCCTTCCAGGTGCTGTTTCTAGGCTCAGGGGCAGCTCAGTGGCAAAGCTGGATGGAGCCTGGGAAAGGTGAGCATCCACTTACCCCGTATGCATGAGGAAGCCCTGGTTTCAATTCCCAGCTTACCAAAAGCAAAACAAAACAGTTCTATTACCTGCTTTTCCTATTCCTAGAAGCAAAACTGACTGCTCTTGCCTCTGGCTTTCCATGGCATAAAGTTTGGAGAGGTTCTGACTTGTTACCCTGTCAGAGTCATGAAGCTGCCTCTTTTCCATTGTAGCTTACAAGGGCAGCACTGTCTGACTCTTTCCTCACCCTTCAGCAGGCCTTGGAAGAAGGTGTGCTTAGAGTGTTTGCCAAAATGCAATGCTGGCAGGAGGCAGAACTGTTAAAAGGGAGGGTCTTGGGACCGAGGCTGTAGCTTGGTGATAAAGCACTAGCCTGTGATGTGGGAGGCAATGGTTCTATTCCCAGAACCCACCCCCACCCCACCCCCACCAGAGGATCAGGGTTTTTGAGAAAAGGGACAGGGAAATGTTGGTGATAGATCACTGCAAAGCACCCTCCACCACCACCCGAAAATGTTTTCTAGAAGGTTATCAAGTACCTTCAGGTTCGTCAGGCCCTTATGTCCACAAGCACAGCTTTCTGTAAACTATCGGTAGTCTCAGCCACTATTAGAGGTTCTGCCCAGATAAGGTCACCTGAGGTCATCTTCTAACAAGAGGTCAGTGACCTTTCTTTCTCTTTTGCTCAGATTTCCCAGGCCTCCACAGTCCTCTGAGCCTCCCTCCTCCGCTCCGCTCTACACCCTCTCCGCTCTATCCACAGGGCCAGCAAAGCTGGATCCCTTCCCTGAACTTGCCCTATTTTTTTTCACCCCCTGAACTGTGCACATTTTGTCCTCTGAACCTAGAAGACAATGTCCTGTTCATTCACATTGCTCATTTCAAACAGGCTCACAATGCAGCTGGGCTTAAATTGACCTCATGGCCTCACGATGCACAGCCCCTGTGTGCTGGCAGCCTTGCCTGCACCTTTCATCTGTGAACTGTGTAGTCTGTCACCATGGCTGGTCTGTGAACCCCAAGATCTGTTCCTGTTCCTCTTGGCTCGCTTCTAGTTTTCTTTCTGTTTTGCTTTGTTTTTCCTGGTGGTGCTAGGGATCAAACCCAGGCCTTGTCTTTACTAGGGAAGAACTTAACACTGAGCTACACCACCAAACCCTTGGTTTATTTCCAAGCCAATCTAGCATTCACTTGCATCTATGCTAGTACACATGCCTGCGACCAAGGTTAGCCCAGGTAAGCCTGTGAGACTGTCTTCTTTC